CTTGGGCTACTCTTTTACCAACGAATAGTGGGATTGACCGTCACATTATAACGCCCCCACGGCTGAAAGGGCGAGCATGTTTGGTGTAACGGGGATTCGAACCCACGACCCTCAGATTGCGAGTCGAGCGCCCTAACCACCTGGCCATGCCGGGCCTATCCAAGATTTCAATGCCTTTATTATAAGTTTGGACAACATTCAGCATATACAATCAATTTCCACAAAAAAAAGAGAAAATAGTATCTGACAACCTTTTTTGGGATGATAATTGAATAAGCAAAATACGTGGTTTTTGTTTTTTTTCGCTGACAATGGTTGATATTTTAAAGTAAAAATACATTTTTCACGTTTTTAAGGTCATTAATTTCAAATCCATTTTTTTATAATTTATCATTTATGAATATAACTTTTGAGATTATATCGCTTATGATAGGAATTTTTACTAATGTTGTTACTTTTTTCGATTATGTTTCTGATACATTTGAAAATATAACTTAAATAGTTCTTATTGGTTTGGCTAATAAGATTAGATTGATTAATAAAAATTTCATAAGCTTTTTGATTTTTTCTTACTTTACTTTTAGAGTGGTGAACAATTTTTACTTGTTTAAAAACATTAACTTTAAAATTTGATAACTTAAAAACAGTCAAATTTAGTGGTTAACGTATAGTGTTATATGTATAATAAGACTGGCTACAGAAAACATTAATGAAAATCGTGATGAGTTGTTTAATATTACCTAAATGTTTACCGGGCATCTCTCTACACCCTTCATGACCTGTGTTCAGTCCTACCCTCTTTTCCTGGGGACTCTCGAGAGCGACTTCACTGACTGACGTGGCTCAATGGAAGTATGTACAGCTACAATCCTACTGTTTCTCCCAATTCTAAATATTATCCTCACCAACTACTGTTAAGTTCGGTTTTTAGTATTCTCTAAATCAGGGATTCTCAAACTGTGGTAGGCATACCACTGGTGATACGTGGAGCTAATGTCGGTGGTACACGACACAATTAACATAAAAAATCATAAAACATGTAATAAGCCATATCTGAGCTTTCCACGTACATATACATACTACTTACTCTCCTCACTTATAGACTCACCCTATACTTGCATAGACTCGTCAGTATTTTCTTTCTTTAACATTGAAAGAAATGGTACCACATATTCTTTAATCGTGCCAGAAAAAACAATCGCATCCTTCGCATTAATGGATAAGTTTTTAAAAATATGAATTTTTGTCACTAGGTTTTTATCTTTTTTTTAATAATTAGGCCTGGGTTTGTAATTTCAAAAAATTTAACCAAAAGTGGTACGCGAGGCTGAAACGTTTGAGAACCACTGCTCTAAGTGGTTGTTTTAGATAAAGTTACTGTTAAAGTTTAATTTTGTGACTAATGAAAGAGGTTATTATGTTTTAAATTTATATTAATGAGGGTAATAGTATAGTGTACACTTCTTTCAGTTTACAGAATTCCCTTTACTAAATAGTTATAATTGAAGCTCTGTCCACTACTCTTCACAACTGAGACAACACAGTCATATGTAAAACATGTGCGCCGGAGCCGGTTCGGCAGACCGGGCAGCAGCCGGACCAACATTTTATCACAGTAACTGTAGGTCTTTTTAAACTTTAACTTGCAGTTCAAAAATTGTTTCTAGGTAAATAGATAGACTTATATTAGTATATATGAATCCGTATAACAATGCATAATATATTACATGTGTAATCTACAAGTGTACATGATTGTGTTTACGTATAACTATGGTAAGTATAAGTGCCAGTGAGCACCAATTTTTGTAAATTATAAAGAAGTGCTTGCAAATTGTTAACACTTTCAAATAATTATAGTAAAATCTCAGAGGACCTATTTTTCAAACTTTTTCCTGGGGGCATGTCCCTAGACCCCCCAGGCTTTGCATGCCAAAGTATGCTTTGCACACTATTCTGAGTTGCCTGACCAATCCAAAGACAGACAAACACAGACAATGATTCATCGCTGCACATGTTAATTTTCCTTTATTCTTTACCATGTATCTTTTCCCAGAGCTCTTCGAGAATCGACGACGACTTGCATTTATAGCTATGATGAGTGGCTCAAGGACTGATGCACTGGACTCTTCACATATAGTACGTGATGGATTTAATATCATATGAATGTTTTTCAGTGATAACATATGTCAAAACTTGCGTGGTACAATGACAGGTTAATTTTGGGAAGCTAGACTGATATTTCACGTTAACACGTCTACTGGTCTTCTATTATTCATTATGCTACTTATATTAGGTTTGGCTGCGATTAGTCAAGCTGAAATGTTTCAGACTCCTATACCGCCAATGTTACAGTTGCTTATATACCTTTCCACACATTAGAAATATCACTAATTGTGATACAATTTCTTTGACTTGCATTTAAAACCGAAAGTTTTGGTATTGCCATTTACAGTGGTGACCCCTGGGGCTTGTTGTCACCCTCTTTTTCTTTTTAGTTGTTACAGTTTCAGACTGTCTCTGTCTTCTCATTGGTTTATTGGACTTTGGCGACCACCTTGTGAGGCTTACCAATCCGACAATCACGTGGAAAGAAAGGCGTCTCGCTGGTTTACCTGATTGTGACTGGCTCAACCGGAAAAGGTGACGCCACTTTCAAAGTCGGTTGGAACTCTGAATTTAATTAGACCTAGAACATAAACTTGCAAGCGACTCTTCTCATTCTTCTTTATTTTTAGCATCTTGCGTGTATCGTGTAGATCCGGGTGTGTTTATTTTTGTCCATGAACTTGTTTATTCAACTACATATGCTGCTTCCATTCACATAATATCCTCTTTATTTTACAATTTCCAGGCCATCCCTTTCTTTTCTTTGCAATCTATCGTTGGTTATCTTGCCAACTTTATTCCATAAAGCCTTTGAGAAATTGTGTCGTCTCAGTTATTACTGTAACTCTCACATAACCTTCTGTTATCGCGAGGGCAAACAAACGTGATTCTTAATCCAGGAATACGCCATAACAAATATCATTTCAGTTTTGGAGATTTGCGGGCTTCTTTCCTCTTGGTATATTGATTTCAACTAGCTGTCTATGGCATCTGCTGACCTTTACAAATCTTACGCAACATTTTGCCTTTAGAAACACCGAACTTCAGTGACAACGGACCCATTACTAGCAAGAAATATGTGTCGTCCTAATACTTTTGGTAATATTGTATACATTGTCTCTTATCTTCGCTGCTTCTGCCTTTGCAGTTTCACTCTTTTCCAAAAATAACAGCCAATACAGCCAATTAACACTTTTGTTTTGAACACGACAGTAACCAACATCAAAAACCATAAAAGTCAATAGAGCCAAGTAGCACTTCTGTTTTGAACACGATAGTAACCAACATCAAAAACCATAAAAGTCAAAACAGCCAAGTAGCACGTCTGTTTTGAACTCGATAGTAACCTACATCAAAAACCATAAAAGTCAATACAGCCAAGTAGCACGTCTGTTTTGAACACGATAGTAACCAATATAAAAAACATAAAAGTCAATACAGCAAAGTAGCACTTTTATTTTGAACACGATAGTAACCAACATCAAAAACCATAAGAGTCAATACAGCCAAGTAGCATTTTTTTACACGTATATAATATAACTTTAGACAACAAGTAGCCTGTTGGTCCATCTAGGCCGTCCCATCTGCTAAATTATACTTTAAATGAAAATACTTATCATTCAAATATTTATCAAACCTTCCCTTAAATCAATTGCAACCATAAAATCTGAAGGCAACCCATTCCAAAGACCAACCACTCTGATACAAAAATAAAGCTGTGTTAGCTGAAGATGACTCCTCTCCTACCAGGATTTATATTTATGTCCCCTAGTTCTACTAATAAGTACGAAAAAAGATGATGCATTAACACTATTAATTCACTTAATAGTCTAAAGCATCTCAATCAGATCCCCCCCCCCACAACTCCTCTTTGTTTCAAGAAAAAACAGTTTCAGAAATTGTATTAACCTGTTCTCCTATGACAATCTTTCCATCCCAAGTATCATCCTAGTAGCCCTTCTCTGAACTCTTTCCAACAATTCAATGTCCTTTCCAAGATAAAGAGCTTAGCACTAAACACAATACTCTAAATATAACTAACTAATGGCGTATACAATGACATTATATATTATTTAGACTGGAATTCAATGTTTCTGTAGATACAACCCAAAATTATATTTGCCCTGCCACTAGCAACAACACATTGCTT